TGCTCTGAGATGCAAACGATAGAAGCAGCTTTTCATTCTGGTAAAACTATTTCCAAAATTTGATTGCATTTCTTCAAGCCCGATCATATTACAATATTCTAGATTTCCAGTTAAGCTATTTAATTATTTTTGCTAGTCCCCAGGTTGAAACTTGCAATTTTCCTCACAGAGAGTTGTCTAAGGAACCTGATTATGTCCTTGAACAGCGATGCCTGAAGTGACACCATCACTGCAGCCGAGTGTGAAAGTCTGCACTGTAATATTGCCCTAACGGCAACGCTTTGCAGTCCTGCCATAGTCAGATGCTTCCTCACGTTGTCCCGTAAGTGAAAATAAGATTCATTTTCCTCCTCCCCAGGAACTGTGAAGACCAGTGGTTCCTCTTATACTTTATAAAAGGTTGTTAAGAGCGCTGCAGTTTGCTGTAAGGAGATGACTGCTCTGAAGCTGCTGCCTGGACACACGCAGAAGTCTCGTGCCCACAGGAGCAGAGAGGGGAGGGCTCCTTCTCCTGAACTGGGGTCAAACCGGCCACACTCGCAGGGTGCCAAGGTCGGAATGTGCAACCCAAGAGGAAACAAGGGGGAGGCCTTGCCTCTGCCCAAACGATCTGCAAAACACTGCTGGCTCCGCACATCTGAGACAGCAGATACCATGAGGCTGGGAGTCCCTTCTAACCGCACTCACCTCCAGCAAGACTCATACCCGGTGTTTGGAGGAGGGTGTACATACAGATGGAGAATAATTTACCACAAAAACCTTAAAAAGTCTTCTTTACAACCCTGTTACCCAGAAATGTGCTTCTCACTTCAAACAGATTTTTCAATTTCTTTTGAAAGACTTGGACTTTATTTCTTTCTATTACTTTATTTCTAATTTCTGTGGAACTGAACATTTTTATCGTCCACACAAACATCCATCACATTAGTGAAACATGCTGAAGTCTGACCTGTGACATGCTGGGTCTGGGGCTTGAATGAACAAGTACTTTCAGCCTCGCACAGGTTGGAGTTCACACTGCTGCTTTTTACCACTCACTTTTCATTTTACAAAACGGACTATCGCTTGTTAAGCAAGACCTTTCTTCTTTTTTTTTTTTTCTTTTTTTGTTTACTTTCAGGAAAAAAGACACTACAAAATGCCAGATTGGTCCAGACCTATTAAAAACTGCCAGACCAGTACTAGTGCATGTGTGTATCAGTCTCAAATCTATACCCAGTTGCTGCGGTCCCAGGGCGGCCCAAGGCATCGAGAGCACACAGGCGGATTGTCAGGTTCAAAGCCTCCCTGGAAGGGAGCTGATTTCCAGCCACCTGGGTTCCCACTGAGAGGCAACCAGTGTTGAAAGACCATCTGCATCACAAGATGCTTGAAATGAAAACTAGAGTGAGCTAATACGACAGCAAATCTGTAGTAGCTTTTACAATGGGCCACCAGGTGCTGGATTATTTTGGGAACAGTTTAACTGAGGGTCCCCAGATGCTCCGCTGACTCCCCACCGATCAGACCCCAAATGACATTTTTAACGTCAGTGTTAGAAGTAAGGAGCAGTTTTGGCCAGGCTAGCACTGAAAAACATCCTACTCCCCATAAAGTAAAGGGGCTACATGGTGTGTAAGGCACTTCCAGCATGGGTAAATACAGGAAAGCTTGACTGAATAGAAAAAAACACCTTTATACTGCGAGGCTGGTCAGAGCCTGGGGCAGGCTGCCCGGGGAGGCTGTGGGGCTCCATCCTGGGACATGCTCAACCCCCTTGGACAGTTCCCTGAGTGACCCACGGGGAGCAGGTGGGACTGAGCCCCCCCATCTCCTGCCAGCCCAGACCCCCCAGCCCCAGGGCTCTGTGAGCAGTGACATTGGGTCTTACACGGCCAGGGGTCCCCGTCTGCAAGTTCAGTATCCTGGAAGAAAAGAAACAAAATCACGGAGGGCTTGAGATGGAGGCAACATTCACATTTTAATTAACAAAAAAAAAAAATAGGGCAGTCACACTCCCACTGACACTCTTTTTTCAGATCTTTTATCAACCAGAGTTAGTCAGCTATTTTTATCATCAGGATGTATAAGCAACACTGGAGGTGCAAAGCGGATGGGCAAGGATGTATAATTTATACAAACAACAAGAAAAAAAAAAAAAAAAAAAAGAAAAAAAAAAAAAAAAAAAAA